ATAGATAGATAGATAGATAGATAGATAGATAGATAGATAGATAGATAGATAGATAGATAGATAGATAATACATAGATGAGAGAGAGAGAGAGAGAGATATGTAGTGGTCTTAGACTCCTTCCTGTTTCTGACCTGGTCTACCTCGAAGGGACGGTGGACTGAGCTCAAGGCAAGAAAATGTAAAACCGGACTCTCTCCCCATTTCTAGGGACTCCGACTCCCATCAGGGAGACGGTTATCCATTCAGGATGATGGGCATTGTAAGCTAGACAGAAAGAGAGGGAGAGGGCTAAGGACCATCATCTTTTTTTAACGACCCCATAATCCTTTGCATCGGGGTGGAGCCTGGCCAACTGAATGGGGCTGAGTGTTTTTAATGGCCAGATGCCCTTCCCGTTGCCAGGGCGGAGTTTTGTGCGGCGGATAATGTTCTCCTTGCGCCCAGAGAGAGAACTATCTGCCTCTACCTGGGGCTCGAACTCACAGCCTCCTGATGGTAAGGCAAGAGGCTCCGCCTCTCGGCCACCGCACCACTTTTGAGAGGGGGCCACGGACCCCCCCCCAAAAAAAATTAAAGACATGAGTTATATGCCCCCCCCCCCCGTCCTCCACCTCGTGCCTCTGCGCTGGATGGGAATGAGTTTCCTTCCTCCGCCTGATCGGTTCTCCTCTGCTTCCTCCCCTCCAGGACACCAAGAACAGGCAGGCGGCCGATAAATTGATCTGTGACCTGGATGAGAATCAGGACGGGGAGATCAACTTCGACGAATATTGGAACTTGATCGGGGGCATCGCCAGCCCCATCTCCTGCCTGATCCGGCAACAGGAAGAGAGCGAGAAATTCAAGAAATAAACGGCGGCCCGTTGAATCAAAAGGGAAATAATCCACTCTAACGGGCCCCCCATTTTCACCCCCCGTTTTTCACCCGCTAAATTCCCCGCATTTCAGGGCGGTTAATCTTAAGGATACCTCATGTGGGGCGGGGGGGTCCCAGAAATTAAGAGTGCTGTCAAACTGTGAATAACACTGCAATAAAAACCAGAACGGCTTCCAATGTCTTTGTCTAGTAGATGTGTAATTTTAGTTTAATTTAGCTTTTATATATCTATATTTATATCTGTATCTGTATCCATCTACCTATCATCTATCTATTTATCTCTCTCTCTCTCTCTCATCTATTTATCTATATCTATCTATCTATCTATCATCTATCTCTTTCTCTCTATCTCTATATATCATCTCTATATCTATCTATCTATCTATCTACCTACCTACCTACCTATCTATCTATCATCTATCTATCATCTATTTATTTACTATCTATTTATCTATATCTATCTATCTCTCTCCTATCTATCTATCTATCATCCATTTACCTCTCTCTATTTATCTATATATATCTATCTCTCATCTATCTATCTCTCATCTATCTATCTCTCATCTATCTATCTATCTATCTATCTATCTATCTATCTATCTATCTATCTATCTATCTATCTCTCTATCTATCTATCTATCTATCATCCATCTATTTACCTCTCTCTATTTATCTATATCTATCTATCTCTCATCTATCTATCTCTCATCTATCTATCTATCTATCTATCTATCTATCTATCTATCTATCTATCTATCTATCTATCTATCTATCTATCTATCTATCTANATTTACCAGTTCTCCGAACTACTCAACATTTCCGCTACTGGTTCTCCATAACTGGTCAGAACCTGCTGAATACCACCTCTGGGCTGAACTCAGAAAAAATACTATCCCAATTTAATTTTAATTTCCACCTCTGTTCTGCTCTAAAATATAGAGTTGCAAAAAGTATAGGTAATAGGTGCACCCATTGGATGGTATAACTAGTTTTAGATTCTTACGAAAGGCCAGAAATAAATCTTTCTGAGAGATTTTTAAACAAATTCAGAATGACAAGTTTTCAGTAGTTACCAAAATGTATTCTTGCCATGAAAAAAAGAAGAAAAAGATAATATTTTAATCTTTAATCTTTTGCTGGATCATTTTTGGACTGAAGATATGGCAGAGGTTGGGTCAGTTCTACAGAGTCTCTGTTCTTAGAAGGCCTTTTTGAATTTGTGTTTGAATGTCCATATTGTCTCTTAGAACCAGAACATGAAGCAAACAAGTATATTAAAGAACCCAACCGTAAACTGTGATCATTCCAGCTGTAGCAGATCTTATGACTCAGGGGCAGACAATTTATTGCAGGGGATCATAGATAAAGTTCCCAGAATTTTCAATTAAAAGGTAAGATTCTAAAATAAACAAGGACACACTAACTTATGGTCATCGTCCCAACTCAATGTTGTTCAGATTGTTGGCCTGCCAAATATGATGACATAACGGGAAACTCTTGCCACTTTTAGTGGATCTGATCTCTTGTAATGTCTCTGTGTGTGAGAGGACCAACAGAGAGAAGAATGGGGTATGAGGTGGCCCAAGATGTTCATTATTTAGATATACTATTGTTTAACAAAGCTTAGCATGTACAACAGAGAATCTTCAGGGATTGGCAACGTATCTCACAGCCTTTGTTTCAGTGGTGGGATCCTCCTGGTTTAATAACTGGTTTGGTGATCGTGCGCTTTGCCTGCATGTCAAAATTTGAAGAAATCTTTACTTCTTGGTTTCTTCCCAAAAAAAAAAGTAGGAAAATATCCCGGGCAGGCAGGTGGACCCATCTGATTGTCAGGGCGAACCGGTTTGCTCCCAGCTGATCGTTGAAGCTATTGGTTCGTCCGAACCTGTCCAAACTGGTAGAATTCTACCCCTGCTTTGCTTCGATAGTAAATAATGGAAGCAATTAATAAAATGTAGAAGAATGGAGTGTTAAAATTCAGATTCTTCATGAGGATTAGGGGTCTATACCTTTGTCTGTCAAGAGTTGGGAGATCTTGAGTTTTAGTACTGTCAGTCACTCTGTTTCAGCTTCAAAAAAGAAAAAAAGAAATGGGAAGCTACCCCTGGAAACCATCACCCCAAATCCTATATGTATAGATACTATAAATACTTGACTCCTGGAAGATACCTGTCCATGTACTTTCCAGGAGCCAAGTATATACATTAATGTTTATTTGCTAATGATTTTTTAAAGGATTTCGAAGGTAGCAGAGCTTTCTAGAACCCTGAAGAATTATGGCTAAGGAAACTGCACAGTTTGGGGCTCATTATGGGTGTTGAGAAGAGATGCAATGGTTCAGTGGTTAAGACACGAGCTTGTTGATCAGAAAGGTCAGCAGTTCGGCAATTTGAATCCCTAGTGCCGCGTAACGGAGTGAGCTCCAGTTACTTGTCCCAGCTTCTGCCAATTTAGCAGTTTGAAAGCACGTAAAAATGCAAGTAGAAAAATAGGAACCACTTTGGTGAGAAGGTAATAGCGTTCTGTGCGCCTTCAGCATTTAGTCATGCCAGCCACATGACCACGGAGATGTTTTCAAACAGGGCAGGTTCTTCGGCTTTGAAATGGAGATGAGGATTACCCTCTAGAGGCGGGAATGACTAGCACATATGTGTGAGGGGAATCTTTACCTTTACCTTATGGATGTTGAAGAAAAAAGATTTGATGATTCTAGTTTTTCATGTATAAACACGTATGGAATGAGACCCCAAGTTTTCTGTGTATGGGGCAGAGTCAGAACATTGCTTTCTTCCATTGTAACTGCTCTTTAAGAGGCCATCGGAAGGTTTGTTGCATCTTCACACCAATACAGCTCTGCTGAGGAAAGGAGAAAGAAAATGGGGAGCGCAAATAACTGGGAGCAGGCTGGTTCAACAATTAGCTAGAGAGAGATGACTCCTTATTTGGAAAGGGCAGCTCATTATCAGCTATGTAATAATTATAGGAAAGAGACACGAAATTTCATCTCTTGTGGCAGAAGGACAAGTGTGACTTTTGGTTTTACAGGCTGTGTTTGAAAAGAGAAGAGAGAGACTCTGTTTGCCTTCTGCATATAAGGGAGGGATGCAGTTATCAACTAATTGAGAGTCACTGAAAACAACAGCAATAGAAATAACACTTAGACTTATATACTGCTCCCTAGTGCTATACAGCACTCTCTCCGTGGTCTACAGAGTCAGCCTATTGCCCCCAACAATCTGGATCCTCATTTTACCGAGCTCAGAAGGATGGAAGGCTGAGTCAACCTTGAACCGATCAGGACTAAATTCCTGGCTTTGGCAGAGTTAGCCTGCAATGCTGCATTCTAACCATTGTGCCACCACAGCTCAGCTACCTTTGATTTTGAAACAAGCAAAAGGTTTGCTGAGACAGCAATGGTTTTCCATTTCTCCCCCATCTTGAGGGTGGGAGGCAAGTGCATCATTGGCTCTGTAAGGGAAAGGCATCAGTGATGGTACTGCCACAAAGAGATGTTTGAGAAAAGTAATGGAGGCCAATCCTGCTTTTGGTAGAATGAAGAGGGATAAAAAAAGGGGAACCAACCGTTGAAGCATCAGGGAGGACAGGTTGCTATTTAAAAGGATTTGTTTTTTGAGGATGTTAATCTCTTTTCTATTCTTTCTAGTTGATGAGCAGCCACAGGGATTCTACTGTGTGCTGTTGCCCTCGGTGGTGCTCTTGGAGTGTACGGAGGGAAGATGGCATTCTGGACACAGCTGGGTTTGCTACTATGGAAGAATTTCACTTATAGGAGAAGGCAAACGGTAAGATCACAACATTGCTTTCTTTTGACAAAAGAGCCAACTCTGTGTTTGAAGAATTCCATAATTGGGCCTGTTCAGTTCAAACAATCATATTTCACTCTATAAATACATCATTTGGGCACAAATATTTCATATGGGTACAAATATCCCACAATATTCCCATTGATCTGGTTATGTCATATGATATGGATTGGAGAGCTTATATAAAGGACCCGAGCCAATAAGTTCTTTAAAGAAGTAAATTGTGTGTTGGATGTTAAGTATGAGACAAGAAGCTGCAGTTATCTTTTACTTTCAGTAAAAGCAGATAGGAGGCAAGAAGGACAGGGCACGGAGAAACTAGACTCATTCTTATTTCAACAACGAGAAAAAATTGTTTTAAGAGTTCAGCTGTAGAAATCATTTTTGCTCTGATCAGTCTAGCAAAAGAAAAGGTAAGCCCATAAGCACTCCATTAATGCTTTAGAGTAAAAATGGAGGCATAGTCACAAGTAGCAATAGCAATAGCAGTACAGCAATAGCCCTTGGACTTATGTACCTCTCTATAATGCTTTACTGCCCTCTGTAAGCATTTACAGAGTAAGCCTATTGCCCCCAACAATCTGAGTCCTAATTTTACCAACCTCAGAAGGATGAAAGGTTGAGTGCACCTTGAACTGGCCAGGATGGAACTCGAGGCTGTGGACAGAGTTAGCCTGCAATACTGTATTCTAATCATGGGTCAAGTAATACAATAGATGTGCCATACTGCTTAGCCTACATGTTGTGAAACATATATAGGCTACGCCTAGAAAAAGCAGAGGAATTATTACATCAACAACCCCAATCTGCTGCTTTGTGTTAATTACAACTTTGTGAATTCCAGTGCTTGAGTCGTTAGAAACTATGGTGCAAACTAGATATGGAGGACATTAGAACGAGGAAGTCTGGCTTAAGCAGGGTGTGACTTTATTACTGCAATTCTAGCGGTAATTTAAGTAGAGGTGTTCAATACCTTCCATTGCTATGGTTAAGAGAGAGAGGATGAATAAAATCTGCATTGCAACTACTTTAGATTCCAGTTTGCTAGTACCGCTTAGAAAACAGAGTGGACTTAATAGAGTAAAAACTTAACACTACCTCTTTGGTGCTCTGCAGAATAGTGCAGGAAGTCTTCCAATGCAAATCTGAATAGTGTTGTTGACAGGAACGTAGCTAGGTCAAAGCGATTATCCACACTTAGTTGTTCTTGAGTCTTTTCTGACAGGTTTCTGATTCATTTCTCCAGGCTCTTATGAGAGTAGACATGAAAATAACGAGGGTGATACTGTGCCCTTTAATTTCCCATTTACGGTGTGAGCATTTGGACACTCCACAGACCTAAATATTTAGTAGTGATGTACTTGGCAATTTTATTAGTAACAGTGGCTTCTTGGACTATGTTATGAGGAAAGATTTTTAGCTCTGGGAATTAAAGTCCTTCTGGTGATCTTACAATAGCATCCATTCCATACTGTTTCTGGAACACTTGGGCTGGATACTGTTTCAGTGCCATCTTTCTCTTCCCCCAACTTTAAAATGGCCTTTTTCTTCCTCAAAAGCAGTGAGGTTATCATATGGGCCATCAAAGTAGAACAAAGAGGATACATCTTTTTTATTTAAAGGGTTACGTTCTTTCAGCAATGACACATTGATGACCACATTCAGAAAGAGGAGCCAGATATAGGTTAAGACATAGAGACAAAGCCAACCCATGAAGCAGCTTTTATTTGAATCATGAAAGTTCAACCATAGCCAATGAGATGAAAAAAACTTACAATCTGACTCTCTTATTAGTCTAATCACTGCAAGGGTTGCAAGACAGGCAATGATCCAAATATATCATATCCATAATTTATTTTCTCATTGCTTTTCAACTCATTACAGTAGTATTATTCGGCATGGCAAAGGATAAACTTTCTCTCTTCCTTTTCTTATACACATAATTTTAGAGTCAAACACTCTACTGAGTGAATGCAATGTACTTGAGTACTTTTGTCTTAAAGAAGTATGTGTTTAGGTGCATGTCAGAATTGGGCAATTTTGAGATAACATACAACATTTTAAGTACAGCTTTTATTTTGTGATTTTTGTAATTTTTTCTGATCATTCTCTTGCATCACATTTGTTTTTATATGTTGGATTTATACTTTAGTTATTCTAAATATTTGTGTTTATTATTCATTTGTATCCCACTTTTATTATTTTTACAAATAACTCAATGCAGCAAACATACCTCCTATTTTTTTCCATAACAACAACCCTGTGAGGTAGGTGGAGCTGAAAGGAAGTGAGAGAGGGTGAGGGAGAGGGAGGGAAGGAGGGAGGGAGGGAGGGAGAGAGAGAGAGAGAGAGAGAGAGAGAGAGAGAGAGAGATTGAGATTTTAATTTGGGCAGAACGATAGTAAATTCATCAAGCTTCCCAAACTAAAGCTGTATAGAATTATATTGCCCCATTATCTCAAAAATCATATGTCAA